TTGATGTGCCCCCCATGTGGGTGAGTTTCAGTTGGGGACCTGCTGGGCATCATGTCGGTGGGGATTCATGTCCAGCACCAGTGGTGGTTCCCTATAGAAATTCATGGCCATATACTTGGGGACGCCCCAAAAGAGTTGTTGCTTCCCATTCGCCAACAACCGACATGGTGCAAAATTGTTTACCTTGAAACAATTAAAGGGTGCCCTTACCAAACAAAACGTGGACTGGTTTGCTCATGTCATCATCATGGTCACAGGGCATTTGCCCAATGTCATTGAAGCTGTTGCCCAAACGCAGTGCCCTCCCTTGAGCAGAATCCTCGAAGGAAACCCCTCAATTCTGGGGTGCCATTCTCTCTGACAGAGTTAAATTGATTTCGTGAACCGAATATGCTGTTATCAAGAAATTGATGAGTCCCCGGGTTTTGTGTGAGTGCCCCACTTCCCCAAACCCAAACATTGAACAACCATAGACTGGACATTTTGACCGAGCCTCCATCCGGTAGCACAAGACCTTTCACCCACTCACACAAAAGCAGGCAGGCTATACAGCATCGCCAGCATACCCAGCATTGCCAGCATCATCTGGAACACGCGATCGTGGGTTTAGCGTTTTTTTTTGGTAGAGAAAGACAAAAAGAAGCTCTGCAAATCAGATGTTGCAGCCAAGAACGCTAAAAACAAGACCCTAAAAGGGTTGCAAGATCGACTTTAAGTGTCCAGCATACGAGGAGCCCCCCCAAGCAATAACGGTCCCACTGGATCTATTTCCAAGTCAAAAGAATAAGTCCTATTGAGGCGCAGTAAAACCATGTCACCTGTTTGCTGGTTGCAGCAACGATTCAAATATCATTCAGTGTTTCCATGTGAAATCTTATCTACACATCCCCAACGGGAAACAAACATTTGAAGCTCCGACTACTTCGCTTGACCATCTGCCGTCGTTGGGAGAACATATGGAATTCACTGGCAAATGTGTCAAACCAAGCTAAACAGTATAAGTGCGTGCCAGCTGTTGCCAAACAAACGGACCTAAACTGAAACCAGCACCATCGATCTTGAAAGGCACTGAAACCAGAAAGAACTCCCATTATGTCCCCATCCCTTCCATAGCGAAAGCGGGAATCTTGGTTCCCCCTCCCCGGATCAGTTTTCCTGTTGCCTGCTAGTGGGTGAGGAAAAAATGCCTTGCAAAGGAAGATCGCCTAACCGGCAAGTATTCACAAAGAAAACCCTTCTCCTTCCTGGAAAGAACCCAGGTCCGGCGTTTTACACAAATTTATGTGGGCGTGTCTTCTTTGAGGTAACCCACGCACCTCTGCGTTTCTTGAGGGAAGGCCAACGAGAAACCCCTCTGCCGACGTGGCACAGTCCCAGAACTGCCCAACCTTTGGCCATGGATCCTGAATTAGGAATCCGTACAGTGGCCAGAACTCCAAGTTCGGGGACCTTGCAAGGTGTTGTTTCTTTCCTTTTGGTTTAACCTTACTCATTTCTTTGAATCCTTGTTGCACATACTTGTTTTTGGTACTTACAGTGGCCATTTAAAACAGAAAAAAAATGGCCGGTAAAATTGTGGTTTCACCATGGCAATGGCGTGCCTTTGGCGCTCTTGAAAGCAAGAGTGAAGAGGCTATCCGGTCCCATCCCAGTCATCACTTTTGGGGTCCCCTATCGGTTGGGAAACATCAGCTCATCATGATCTGTTCAACCGCGGGCCCTTGCTTTCATATTGGCACTGTCGGCTGAGGTCAAAATTGCATACTTGTTCCGCGAGGGCACGGTGGGGACGAAACATCGCACCAAAACTTTCTCGTCCCGAGGCCCAAATGCACCATGTAGAAATGGACCATGTAGGGGGGAGTCTGAAAAAAATCAACAGTTCCCATCCCCATTTGCTTTCATTTCGGGTACACTTGAACAAGAATGGGTTCAACAAAAGGTGAATACCAACAAAAGCCTTTTGTATGTGCAACAAAGATTTAAAGAAATTGAGCCACTGGTTTTGAAGCGACAATTCGTCCCAAGAAATGAACGGAAGGTCAAAACAAAATGAACGAAAGAACACCTCCCCGAACTGATCAGTTCGCTCCTCCCCCAGCTCGAGGCCCCGCTGGGCCAGGACCTGCTCGCTCGAACCGGCTTGAGCCTTAGGGGTGCCCTTTTTGGGGTGCAAAATGGGCGCCATGTGGCTGTGGGTCAAAACCGTTTTGGATCCCATTTTGGGGGTAGGTGAATTCACCACCCATGTTTAGAACCTATTTTAGTGGGGATTGGGATGTTCACTGGGGGGTAACCGGGCTTTTGAGCCATGGCCATGTGTTTGAGCCCCTGCCATTTTTGGAGGGGACCAACAAAGGGCACCAACCTGGGCGTCATATTTTCTGAGGCTGTCATTTGTTTGAGGGTCTGTCATCTTTGACGTATTTCACCTTGGTTGGGGAGGTTGAGGGAAACCAAAGGAACACAGTTGCCGTTTTGAGACAAACCCAGCTCTTGGGAACCACAAGGAAAAGTGGGGTCAAAATGGTTTCTCAACATGGATTGCTCCCGACCCCCCCCCCTTCCACCTTTTGGTCCATTGGGTTCTCAAAATGGATTGCTCTCTGTTTTCTGGGATGAACCCGAAGATGATATTGGGATCAGAGATCAGAGTTGGGTGAACGAAACTCCGCTTCTCACCAGTTGTTAGGTGGTTTGACCCAGTAGTCAAGAGGTTTCATCCATCTTAGCTGGTGCAGGATTTCGTCGATTCGCGATATGAGTTTCTTGGCTATGGGCAGGTCACCGCAAGGTGTCAGGCGAACCACCTTTTGGTTGGTATTTGCATGAATCGAAACCAACAGGACACCAACCATTTTAGAGAACCGCTATTTTGGAAAGCATCAATATATGTGCAACAAAGGTGGAACCTGTTGGAAAACCTAAAGGACATCAACTTCAGTGGACAATTTTTGATCGGGGAAGTGGACTCCGACGAAATCAACTTCAGTGCAGGTGTGCATACTGCGGACAACATCCGCCAGGCACCAGTTGGTGAGCGGTTTGATTATCCAAATATTTGCAGGGGTTCATCCATTCTATATAATATGTTGAAGCGCCGAGCTTTTGCTAGCTTCCCCGAAGACAGTGAAAGGACATCAACCAGTTTGAACCTCCGTAGCCTGAACTTGCCATTGACTATTTCTGGAATCATGGAGCGTATGGAAACATTGGGGCAGAAAACCACGGCTCTCTAAGAAAACCACAACCCGTGTCTTTACCTTCTTCTTTTTTAAAACCGGCCAGCAAGGATGCCAAGGTAGCGGAAGTAGACCAGTGGGAAGAAGAAGAAGCAGGAGAAAAAGGAATGCCTCCATCTTCCCAAGCGCTGGCCGTCAGTAGTACATTGTTTTCTACTATTGAGAAAATTTGTCCGTCAGCCGGTAGCTCAACGATTTTTCAGCCGATTTCTGAGTTTGAAAATTGAACTCCTCTAGAAACAGTACAAGATGAGCCCAGAAGTAGGGACCGAGTTTGCGCATATGAGCAGCTGAACATTTTCACACCGTAAGCCAATAGCGGACCTCTCAAACCGAGTAGCCAGCCGACCACAGAACATGTCCCAGAACCAGCACTTTGCAACGATTGGATGTCTCAAAATGAAAACGCGAAGAGCCCGCGCTTCTTGGGGTCAAGGCGAAAACGTGGTTGGACCACCCCACCCCAACCCACCCACTGGGCCTTTTTTGTTTGCCACTCCCGATGTGCAGGCTGGGTGCCTCTCTGGCCCACCCTAAGGGCTCAATGTAGCACTGGGCACGGTGCCCGAGGGAGTGTATTATGTGTATATATATATATGTATTATATATTATACATATATATGTATATATGCACATATTTCCGTGTATTGCCCTTTTATGTTCCATTGGTCTTTTGATACGCATACATTGCTTACTGCATGTACATCACATGCAGACATATGTGTATAGATATGGAAAGTATATGAGCAATTGGTATATCAAGGGTGCTTTTCATGGCGTCCCTAAAGGCCTAAAGGCAGCTCTCCTTCAGGACAGGCGCCAATTTTGGGGCCCAGAACCCCCCCTGAACTTGGAGGACCCATTGCTCTGATGCCATGGGCCACGCGCAGGGCAGCGCTCCCGCTCCCTTCGCTCCCCGGCCTCTAGGGTTGTCCCAGGCTCCGCATGCAGCAGCTCCTGACCATGCGAAGGGCGAAAACTCCGGAGAGAGGTTCAGGAAGCGGCGCCAATCGCGCGCGTGTGGGTTTTTTGCCAACCACCCAAACCAAACCACCAAACCACCAAACCACCAAACCACCAAACCACCAAACCACCAAACCACCAAACCACCAAACCACCCCAGTTGTTTGTCGAACTCGATTCGCGTCCAGTTCTCTTCCAGCCCTCTCCCCCCGAAGCCTCTGCCGCCGCGCTGCTGAGGCCAGTTCCCCTGGAGGGCTGGACCTGGCCCCGGAACGAGACATGAAATGACCCCGAGAAAAACCATCCCTTGTGGTTTCCATTCAGGGAATCCTGAGGAAATGACCCCTATAAACCATCCCCTTTTGGGAATCCCCTTCCGGTTCATTCCCAACACCCGGACTCGGGGATTCCCCTGAGCACCGGCCAGCAAAAGCAAATGTCTACGCAAAACAAATATCGTCTTGGGAAATGGGCCCACCTTTTCAGGGTTAAACACAAACACGCTTAGGATCGGAACCTGGACGAAGAATGACGGCGGCATGAACTTACGGGCGTCCACCTAGTGATCAAGCCCCATAGCCGCCAAATGGGCATGCGTCAGGCCGATGAAACCCTGGAAACAAAGGAACACCTGACAGCAAAGAACCTCTGAGTGTCCAACCCTCCCCCAAAAAATTAGTAAAAGATTGATTCTGAGGTAGGGTATTTCCAAGTCAGGGCTTCAGGGTGCAGGGTTGCTTTTCAACAAGCAAACCATTTTGTTCAAAACACCAAGGTTGATTGTGGGGATTTTTCTAAATGTTCTCAACATATTTTTACATTTTTTTCATTTAAGAACAGTCTAACAGTTTGACATTTTCAAGGTTCAGGTTTCAGACCTTACACCCAATCTAAATGTTTTACACCCCCACCTAAATGTTTTAGGCTTTTCCATCACAATGTTTTACATCCCAACCTAAATGCTTTAGACCCCTACCTAAATGCTTTAGACCCCTACCTAAATGTTTTAGACCCCTACCTAAATGTTTTAGACCCTCACCTAAATATTTTAGGGGTTTATATATAATATATATACATCAAAGTTCCAGTTTCAGATGTTGTATTGAAACTGGCACTTTGGTGAGATACATAGACAACAACAGTTTCAACGATGAACCCAACCCCACAAAATCCAAACCCACAACCCAAACCCCCACCCAAAAAGACTTAAAGAAATAATACCTTATATAGTATAGAGAAAATGGCAGGGGAATACAGCACAGGTTCAGTAATTGAATATCTAATATCCAATAATGAAGGTCAAATAAAAACAGGTAAGAATAACAAACCATTGAAAAAACTAATCATTAACAACAAAGAATATTATTATAACAAAGACAAACCATTATCAACATCACTTCAAAACAAACTCAAGCAAGTCAGCAACACACAAGGTTTCAAACGATTTAATCTTCTAAAAAAGCATCAAACACAATGAGAGGCATTAAAACAATCCAGAAGTACAGGATTAGAGCAGGAGCGAAAACATCAGAGACATTTTCAGCATTGAAACGATACGCCAACACATATTCAATAACCAACATACCATTCAAGGGATACAAAGGATTTACATATTTGAAATGGCAAGAAAAGAGACTATCAGAATATCTTGAAAAGGAAAAATCAATGAAAATTATTATTGATGTTGATGTCCTTTTTGACCACCACGAAACAGACGCACCCACAAAATTTACAATGAGGAGCAGGAGATACAACATTCTAAACATTGCTGATTTAAAAAAGGCACTGGATAATATGCCTAAAGACATTGAATTACAAATTGAAAATTCAGAACTAACAAGGTCAGGTTTTATAATAAACAAAGTCCATAAAATAAACATCCACTACGATAAATACAATCCAAACAGAGCAGGTAAATATATGGAACTACCAGAATGGATTTCAAAGAAAAAAGCGTGTATCAACATTCAAAATGATGACGAATTATGTTTTAAATATTGTGTTTTATGTAAATTCTATGAAGTCTTCAAGAAAGACCATCCACAACATATGAGACACTATAAGAAATTAATAACTACTGAAAGTCTAATTAAATGGGATGGTGTAAATTTTCCAGCATCCAATGATGACATAGACCATTTTGAAGAAATCAATAACAAATCTATATCAGTTAATGTTTATGTTGAAGATGAGAACCAGACCATCAGAGCAGACAGAATAACAAAGATTGAAAGACCGTCTTGTCATATCAATCTATTACGAATTGAACAAAACGATGCTTCACCAGAGGCTCACAAGCTTTGTGAACATTATGTTTTAATAAAATATTTTAGTAGATTAGCAGGAAGACAAACAAACAAAACAACTAATAAAATGTTCTTTTGTAGTTTTTGTCAGCACGGTTTCAAGTCAGAAAAACTTTTAAACTCTCACTTAATAAAAGGTTGTATGGCAAATGAAATTCAACACACTGAATTACCAGAAGAAGGGACAACAATGAAATTTGAAAAGCATTTTAAGAAACTGAAAGCACCATTTGTTATTTACGGTGATTTTGAATGTTTAACAACAGAAACATCAGATGGCATCAAAGGGACTTACGAGGCACCGCCTCTTGGGCAACCGAAGGGCGCCTACCAGAACCATAAACCCAGCGGTTATATGCTTAACCTTGTTAATGCTTATAGTGGAGAAATGAAACCATTTTTATACAGAGGCGAAGATTGTATTGATAAATTTTGCGATACTTTGAATAATATTAGAGACGATGTTATGGAACAAATGAAAAAAACCAAAAGATATGATTATGTCAGACTTGGATAAAATCAAACATTTAGAAGCTAGAAAGTGTTTCTTGTGCAATGGCGCTTTTAACAACAAAGTTGAAGCGAAAAAGAAGGTCGCCGATCATTGTCACTTTACAGGATTATACAGAGGAGCGGCACATATGAAATGCAACATTGACTATTGCTTTAAAAAATATCATATACCCGTATTCTTTCACAATCTTAAAAACTATGATGCTCACCTAATAATTTCTAATCTTGAAAAGTTAAATACAAAGAAAGAAAGCATATCAGTAATAGCACAGAACAGTGAGAAGTTTATTACATTTTCATTAAACAGACTTGAATTTAAGGATAGTTTCAGTTTCTTATCATCGTCGTTAGAAAAACTGGTTAAATTAACAAAATATGAAGAGAATAAGTTGAGACCTGACTGGGAAAATCATTTCAAATACAGTTTCAAAGGCAGATACATTAAAAACGAAAAAGAATTATTTTTACTGACAGAAAAGGGAGTTTATCCTTATGATTATTGTAATGACTTCAATAAATTTAATGACACTGAACTACCAGAAAAGAAACATTTTTACAGTAGATTAAGTGAAGAAGATATAAGCGACGCAGACTACGAAAGAGCAAAACTAATATGGAAGCACTTTAACATTAAAAACCTTGGTGAATATCACGATTTATATTTAGAAACCGATGTATTATTATTAACCGATGTATATGAAAATTTCAGAAAACAATGTCTAACAGATTATGAGTTAGACCCAGCCCATTATTATACATTACCTAACTTTGCTTGGGACGCGATGTTATTAAAAACAGGAATTGAACTTGAACTTTTACACGATGAAGAACTTTATAATATGGTTGAGAAGGGTTTGAGAGGTGGAATGTGTCAGGTTTCAATGAGAAAAGCAGTAGCGAATAATAGGTATATGGGTGATGATTATGATGAAACAAAACCAACATCCTACATCAATTATTTAGATGCTAATAATCTTTATGGACTGGCAATGTGTAAAAAACTACCATATAAGAATATTAAGTTTGTAAAAGATAATTTCACAGAAGAAGACATTAAATATCATAACAGTGATTATAGCAACAAAGGATATATTTTAGATGTTGATTTAGAATATCCGAAAGAATGCCACGACAAACATACTGATTATCCATTAGCACCAGAAATTATGAGTGTATCAGCAGATATGCTTAGTGATTATCAGAAAGAAACCTACAAAGCATATCATTTTAACAATGCTCCAAAAGATGAGAAAACAAACAAGTTAATACTAAATGTTATGGATAAACAAAATTATGTTTTACATATTGACATTTTAAAGTTCTATTTGAAACAAGGATTGCACATCAAGAAAATAAACAGAGTAATAGAGTTTAGACACAAGCAATGGTTGAAACCGTGGATTGACTTTAACACAGAGAAGCGAAAGAACGCTACAAGCGACTTTGAGAAAGATATGTATAAGTTAATGAACAACGCTGTATATGGAAAAACGATGGAAAATGTGAGAAACCATATTGACTTTGAACTTGTTGATACTCCTGAACGATACCAAAAATGTGTAATAATCCTAATTTCAAATACAGACATATCATCAATGAAAATCTTATAGGAGTTGAGAAGGCAAAAAGTGTAGTTAAACTAAACAAACCAATATATGTAGGAATGAGTATTTTAGATTTATCAAAACAAGATATGTATTCATTTTACTATGACATTATGAAACCGAAATATGGAAATGATATAAGAATATCTGACAGTTTTGTATTACATATTAAAACAGAAGATGTATATGATGACTTTAATGACATTAAGGATTATATGGATTTCAGTGGTTATGACCCTAAACACAAATGTTATGATAAAACAAACAAGAAAGTTTTATGAAAATTCAAGGATGAAGCAGATGGAAAGATTATAACAAACTTTATAGCATTGAAACCTAAATCATACTGCTTCAGGATACATAACGAAGATAAAGAAGAAAAGAAGAGCAAGGGAATAGTGAAACACAAAGTTAAGAAGGAACTGACATATAACTCTTACGATGACACATTGAAAAACAATAATTGCGACACTATAACATTCAACAGCATAAGAAGTAAAGCGCATCAAATATACAGCATACAACAAACAAAACAAGCATTGTCAGCCTATGAACATAAAAGGTATTATATGGATAGTATAAACTCTTTACCTTACGGGCATTATAGCATTAGAGCATAGAGAATTTACAAATATACTTAAAGAAATAGTTATATTATATATTAAGTAAAAATGACCTGCTTTATGGTAGATAATAAGAAAAATAAAATTTCTATGACAAATGATGAATTTGATTTGTTGTGGAATTCTATTGAAGGTGAAGTTTCAGACTTCAGCACGGATACAGAGGAAGAAATTAAGAAGGCAAAGGAAAAGGAAAGTAAGAAAAAAAATAATGA